TTCCTTTCTGAATGAAATAATTATGACAGTTTCTGCTCCCCTTGCTATTTGACCTCTTAAGCTGTGGGTGTTAGTTGTCTTGAGTCTGTTTTGACTCCTGGTGACCCGGGTGTGTCAGAGTAGAATTGTGATCCTTATACTTTTCAAGGCCGGGACCTTTTGGTAGTAGATTGCCAGATCTGTCTTCCAGGGACCTCTGGGTGGGTTCAAACTACCAACCTTTTTGTTTAGTATTGGAGTGCTTAAGTGTTTGCACCACCCATGGTTCAGGATCATGTAACACTAAAAGGAACACCCGTACAAATGTATATTGCCACACTGTTATTATTGGGGATTGTCCCCCGGAGACTGGCACTTGGCTCAGTGATGTGCTGCCCTCTCAGGGTTTGTGTTCCCACCCATGTGCCTGACGAACCCTGCTATATGCCAGCTGGATGCAAAACAGACCAAGTCTCTACCCACTTGGGGCTTATATTCTAGTAGGAAACAGCTGAAAGACAAGTCCATGAACCAATGGGATCATTCCAAGTGTGATGGATGCTTCAAGGACTGGAGGAGGCATCGCTCCAGATAGGGTGGTCAGAGAGGCCTGACTCGAGGCCTGTGTGAAAAGGGTGGAGCCGTGCATAGGAAGATCTAGAGGGAAGGCCACAGGTGGGGACAAGGTTGGTGCATTGAGAGGTATGAAGAAGAGCTCAGGAAGGGCTGACATTACAGTGGATGTGGCCCATGGAGAGCAGTCTGCACTTGACTTTCATTGTGATGTGTCCTCACTGGATCATTTCATGCAGATGAGTGACATGATCTAATTATTGTCTAAAACAAACCAAAAGAAGGCTTGCCAATGGTTCCCAGATGTGAGAAACCCTAGTTTGTTTCTTGTGCATGGTATCTCCTGAAAATCCACTAATTCTATGGTTGGCTTCATGTATCTTTTCCTCCTTCTCTTCTGGTTGTTCTTCTGGCTCAGCATGGTTGTTCGGAGTTTGAGCTTTGGAATGGGACAAGCATGAGTTCAAGTCCACAGTGTACGACTTAGGAGCAGGACAGCGTTAGAAGAGTGACTTCATTTCTCAGGGTCTTAGTGTCCCAGTCTGCAAAATGGGAGTGCTGATCGTACCTAACTTGTACATACGCTGTGTCACTTAGGTAAATTTTCCTGTTACCGCATTCTTCATGATGGTTGGCACCCCACCGGGGGGCATTCACTGAATGTTAGCTGTTGTTCCTACAATTCTGCCAAATGAAGAGGTTTAGCTTTGGCACGTGGTCAAAATAAAACAGAAAATAACCCTTCCTTAAGAGCTCTGAGCATTGCAACACAAACGTTAAAAACAACAAAAACAAAAAATGCACAATTAGAATTCTGTTGAAACAACCATTAAAAAAAATTTTGTTTTTAATGCTTGGAAAATGATAAACATTTCTGGAACATGTCTTGCCCAAATTCTTGGATTTCTGAGTATAAATTGATTCATATTGTTACTATTTTTTAAAATCTTTCCACAGCACTCAAGCTTGTAGGCTAAGCCATTGGAATAATCCCTTCCCTATGGCTTTTTGTTGTTGTTGTTGAAACGTGATCTCGAGTCAGTTCTGACTCATAACAACCCAGTCTAGGTTTTTTTGTTGTTGTTGAAACGTGTTCTTGAGTCAGTTCTGACTCATAACAACCCGGTCTAGGTTTTCCTAGGAGCAGCTGGTACAACTTTTGAGGTTAGCAGTCCTGTGCTTTTCCTACAGAGCCACACCAGGCTTGTATTTAAGACTTATAAACCAGTAATCATAGTAATAACACCTTGTTGTTGTTAAGTGCTGTCGAGTCGGTTCCAACCCATAGTGATCCTGTACCTGTATAGGGTTTCCGAAGAACAGTTGTTGAGCTTGAACCTCTGACCTTGTGGTTCAAACCCACTTTGCAGTCCAGTGCGTTAACCCACAGCACCACATCAGGACTCATAAATATGACAAAAATAACTAAAGTTCACTAAGTACCCACCATATACCACCCTGTACACCTTATGGGAAATGTTACTGTTAAGTACAATTGAGTCTGTTCCGACTCATAGCAACCCTGTATAGAGTTTCCAAGGCTTTAAATCTTCTCAGTAGCAGAAAACCTCATCTTTCCCCCATGGAGTGGCTGGCAGACCTTGTGGGTTTAAAGTCCAGTGTTTATCATGTGATTCCACCATATTCTCTTTTATGGAAAATAGTTCACTTTAACCCTCACGATTACCCTCTGAGAAGACACTAGGATTTTCATACTCATTTTATAAGAAAAGTGAAGCATCACTGGATAACGTATCTTGCCCCCAAGTCACATATTTTAAAAGTAAAAGCTTAGGAGTCAAACCAGCTCTATCTGCTCTAAGTTCTTAACAATTATACCAAGTTCCAACTAGAAATAAATTCTTGACTACACATCTATGCAAAATGATTTTCTTTAAAACGTAGTGCAAAATACCTTTTCTACAACAAGGAGATCAAATGTTTCACCTCTCCAGCCCTCTAAATATTTGGGAGTTGCCACTTACACTCTTGTTTTTTTGTTTGTTTGTTTTTTTCCGTATTCCCTAGCCTTAAGCTCTTGCACATTTTTGGGTGTTTTTTTTTTTTTTTTTTTTTATGAAAATAAACCCTTTTGGTATTTCATCTGCTTTATAAGGAAACACTTTATTGAAACCAGACTCAGAAGGGCTTCTCCCAAGATTTTTCATATGAACAGAGAGCTGAGTTCGGGTGTTTAGAAGCAACTTTTTATTCTTCCTGTAATGATGTGAGGCAACCTGGTGTAGGATAAGCACTAGACTTCTAACTGGGAAGTCGGAGGTTCAAACCCACCAGCCGCTCCTCAGAAACCTTGTTCAGGGTCGCTGTGAGTCAGAAAGAAGTGAGAAAGGCCTGTGAGCCAGCCCTCTCCTTCGCCAGAGTCTAAGACCTATAAGTCCAGTGGACTTTTCCTCTACTTGCTCACCCAGGCTGGTTCTGTGTGCATGTTTCATGTTTCAGACAATCCTGGATTTGTTGTGAGGTTTACCTAAGGTTCCAAATGACCACCTTGCTTTTTCCCAAGCGGGTTTGCTTCCTGCACTTTCACTGAGAAAACAAAAGGCTGTTGTTGCTGTTACTGTTACGTGCCATCGAGGCAGTACCGATTCATAGTGACCCTGTGCATAAAAGGATGAACCACTGCCCAGTCCTGCGCCATCCTCACAGTCGTTGCTATGCCTGAACCCATTGCTGCTGCCACTGTGCCAGTCTATCCAGCTGGGGGTCTTCCTCTTTTTCTCCCACCCTCCACTTCACCAAACAGGATGCCATGTTTGTTAAACAACACATTGTGAGTGTTTTCAATTTCTGCCCCATTCTTCAGAACTCTTTTCCTCCTATGTGAAAGTGTCATTGAGTCGGTTCTGACGCATAGCAACCCTGTATAGGGTTTCTGAGGAGCAGTTGGTGAGCTTGAACTGCCGACCTCATGGTTCTAACTGACCTTAAAGTCCAGTACTGAGGAGGCAGTTCAATCCTAGTCCAACAGCAGTGAGAGCAGGAATCGGTGGACTTGGTGGAGAAGGCAGAGCCTGCTTTATTTGCACTGTCTTGGACAACTCACCCTGCACTTTTCTGTCCCCACCTGCCTGAGGTCTGACTTATGTTCTTGTGTGAACATCTGCTCTTCCAACCTCAAATCAGAAACGCCCCAAGTATTACGTTTTTAAATCTTCCCGTTTTACCAAGAATTCATGTAAGTGTAGGTCCTGTGGTCTCAAGCATTCCAGTCTTCATGAGCAGGGCAGAGAACCAGGCAGCGTTCATTGCCTGGTGTTACCAGTAAGTTACCGTGAATCAGAACTGATTCGTTGGCAACTCACCACAAATCTGGCGAAACAGAGAGAGCACAAATGACAGTCTGCCACCCACTGACTTCCGGGCAGCCTTGGGAAGTGAACCACCCTGTTTTCTCATCCACAATGCAAGGTACTAACGTGCCTAGCATCTATTCAGCGCTTACTGTATCCCAGGTCCTAGTCTGTGAGAATATTAACCCATGTGATCCTCATAAAAAAATTATGAGGTAGGTTCTATTATTTGCATTATTTGACCAGGAAATGGAGTTACAAAAAAGTTAAATCACTCGGACTCAATCAGGCCATCAAAGTCAGTGGTTCTTGACCACGAGCGATGTTACTCCGCTGTGAATCATTTGGCAATTTTTGGTTGTCACTCAGGCACCTAGTGGGTGGAGGCCAAGGATGCTGCTAAGTTCCCTACAATGCACAGGACAGCCCCATAGCAAAGAATGGTATCGCCCCAAATGCCAGCAGTGCCAAGGCTGGGAAACCTTGTTCTAGCGATAGATCCCACGCTCTTAATGGCTGCACTGTGTGGTACTGCAGGATCAACACTGGACTGTGAACCACAAGGTCAGCAGTTCAAACCCACCGGCCGCTCCTAAGAAACCCTTTGCAGGGTGTCTTTGAGTCGGAACCAACTCCACAGCACAAAACAACAACTGTCTTCCAGGTGACTCGATGACCATGTCTTTCCCAGAGTTCCTATGAAGGTGGTGTGGCTGTTAAGTGCTGTCAAGTTGGTGCCCATAGCGTCCCTGTATTAGGTTTCTGATGAGCAGATGGTGAGCTTGAACCACCAACCTTGCAGTTCAAACCGACTTTGCGGTTTAGTGCTTAATTGTCCCACAGCGCCATACCAGGGCGTCTATGAAGGTGAGAGAGTGTAAGGAAGGTTCAGCACCTGGAAGGCAGCGGGTCTGTGGTCATTGTCTTTCCCTTCTCGGCAGCCTTCTCTTTCCATCTTCCCAGAAGCAGGATCGATGACTGCCCAGGTATCGAACCTCAGCTTCCCAGCGTGACCGGAGAACAGCTCCGTCCCAGTGCCGCCTCCCAGCCTCTGTCTATCCAGTGTTCAGAGTCTATTATGAATCCGTGCACTTCCTCGCTCAGTTGAATAACTGCTGTTTATCTTTGTGTTTACAGTTGATTTGGGAATAAGTATCCGAGAGGATAATGCAGCCGGTTCTTCCCCCAAGACGGTGGAGATAAGCAATGTGGCAGATGCCAACGGAAAGAATCTTGGGAAAGAGGCCAGGCCCGAGGCACCAGCTGCTAAATCTCGTTTTTTCCTGAGACTCTCGCCTCTTGTACCAGGACGTGCTGGAGACGAAGCCACAGATTCATCCGCTGGATCAGGGCAGCTTGATGTCAGCTGCAGTAAAGCCTCGGGGAACAAAGGCCCAAGTGAGAGCATGGTGCTCCCTGCCGCAGCTGCAGCAGGGCCCGGCCCCAATAAAAGCCCAGGGCAGGCCCCGGCTGAAGACGAAGCCACCGCTGCCTGTTGGGGACCGGAGCCTCTGCCCCTCGAGTCAGAGGGCGCAGTTCCTGCCAAGCGCAAAGACCCCAGCTTTTTCGACAGAGTTTTCAAACTGGACCAGGCACGGGAAAAGGCCCCAGGTGACCGCCAACCAGAAACCCAGCGCGCCCTGAGTCAAGAAAGTGCTGTTGAAAGCGCTGTGTCTTCCGGGCCGCCCCACCATGTGCCAGCAGAGCAGGCAAGTACTTAAAAAGGACGGTCCACTTCATTCCCAGGGCAGAACCAGGGGCACACGTTGGGTAAGGCAGCCGACTGCACATATGTTGGCCACGGTCACCAAGGGCCTTTGACAAAGTATCGATCGAGCTGTTGACCCTTCTAGAACAAGCAGCACATTGTAGCGCAGTGTCTTCCTGATGTTTCTGATGTCACAGAAAAGATGAGATGAGGTCCTCCTGCCACTTGTCAGCGGTGGACAGGTGGGAGGTGGACAGTCTGCATCTCTGATCAGTGGGCTCTGGAGGGAGAAACATTAGTGGGATAATATACACCCTGCCTGCTTGGTTTATAGGATTCAGTGGGGACGCATTTCCTCTCTGACTTGGATTGATCTTGGGCACACAGGCTCAGGTTTAAATAAAGAGCCTTCACAACTCTGGGCAGGCTCTTTTATGTGCTAAGTTATTTTCCAAGCAAGCAAGAGTCATATCTTTGTGAAAAGTAGATTTTTGTTGTTGTTGTTTTTTAGGAGGTATCCTTGAATTGGTTGCTTTCTTCCCTGAGCAAAGAGAAGCAAGTTCTTTCTGATGTTATAAAGAGCATTTGCTCCTAACCTTGAAAGCTTGTTTCCATTCTGGGCAAGGATTCCTTGAACGAAGATGAAATTTAAATTGATGTGTTATATATTTTTAAAGGCACCTTATTCCTTGGTTTAATAGGCTGTTAAATAACAATATGTTTCAAAAACTGGAAATAAAGTTCAGTGCCTCTAGTTGAGTTGGGAAGCTCTGGCAATGCAGTGGTTAAGTGCTCGGCTGCAAATCTTAAGGTCAGCAGTTTGAACCCACCAGCCATTCTGTGGGAGAAACCCGAAGCCCTGGGTTTCATAAAGATTTATAGTTGTAGAAACCCTATGGGGCAGCGCCACTCTGTCTTGTAGCTTTGTTAACAGTCAGGCTCAACTTGACGACGAGGGCTTTACTTTTTAGTTGAGTTTAGAACTGGAAAAAAAAAATTTTTTTTAATGGGCTGTGTTTTATATTACCTGGCTGCATAGTAGAGCCATCAGTGTATTTGATTCTTGAAGCCATAGATGTATTTGGCTTAACAAAAACTAGCTATGTGTTGAGACAGAGCCTCAGTGGATCAACAGTTGAATAATTGACTGCTAACCAGAAGGTCAGATGCTTGAGCCCACCCAACATCTCCAAGGGAAAAAGACCTGGTGATTTGAACCCATAGAAAGCCCCACAGAACATATAACCCCTCTGTGTTAAACAGGGCTGGTATGAGTCAGGGTACCACACAACATTGATGCCTGCACAGGATATGGTAATACTACTGGCTGTCACTAATGGAGGACTTAAAATATGAGAGTGTCTGTTTTAAGCACTATGTGCACATTTCTCTTAATTTTTTAAATGAAAATAAGTATCCCATTACTCTGTGGTTTTAATACATTAAGGATGGCATCAAGAATGATGTTATTAGGTACCAACTGAAGATGCTGGATGATGAAAATTGGAGAAAGATAATTAGGGTCATTTCTTAGGTAATGAGTGGGTTGATGGCTCAAGTCTACCCAGAGGTGCATTGGAAGAAAGGCCTGGCATCCTACTTCCCTGAAAAGCAGCCATTGGAAACCCTACGGGGTGCATTTCTACTCTGGCACCCACTGAGAATCTGAGTCGACTCCAGGGCAATTGGTGCTCTTTCTGTCAGCAGTTTTTGATTCAAAGAGCTTTTCCTTGAAAAGCTCTAAAAATGTCTCTTCCAATGCCTGGTTTTCCAAATGCACCAGTTCAGTAGGTCAGTTGAGTGGTATTTTTGTGTAGTTCACAAGTTCAGTCTTTTGTACAGTTCATAAGTAGTCAGAATGCCTGCTCTCTTGAAGCTTACAGTCCAGGGAAAGACGCAGGGTAATGAACAGACCCGGCAACGCAGGGGTCTCATGCCCTGCTGTAGTAATCCAGACTGTTGGAAAGGGTGCCAGGACCCAAGAAGGCTTAGCACAGTGGGCTTAGGGAACACTATCCACTATTAACCAGGAGAGCCGTAAACCTGACCTGACTGACCCTCAGTAGGAAAACTCTTGTTGAGGCCTCATTCTTGCTCATGGCTTCTCAGGCCCTTCTGAGGTTGTGATTTTTAATATTCACACATTTTTTAGCATGGACATCCAAACTCAGCCCATTGTTGAGTTGGGGAGAGACTGGATGATATATGGGAAGAGAATGAAGGACAAGAAAGCAAGTCTGTGTTTTACCTGTCTTTGGACAGATGTCAATGGCTCCTCCAAATCCCCATCTTAATGAAGTGTCCAGTTCAGCATCTTGAACAGATTAAGCTGCAACCCACACCCACTCCCACACCCACACTCAGATACACATACTCAATCCACAACTAAGAAAAAAGAGGAAACCTTTTAGAGTTGGACTCTAGCAGCTGAACTTAGATCACTGACAGACAGGCTGTTTACAACAACGCCTCACTTGGAGCAGAATGAGTTCCAGAATGAGAATCGAGTCACAAAATACAGGGGCTTGGATTAGGAACATGGTGGGTATCAAATGTGAGAGGGCTTCAGAAAGTTCGTGGAAGAATGGAATTGCATGATGATGGAATTTTTTCCAAGAATTTTTTGAAACCCCCTGCCCTCCACCTCACATAGCCAAGATGACAGGTGGGATTTTGAAGTTCCAGTCATCTCTAAGTAAGGCCTACAAACAGCCCTCCCTCCCTGCACTAGTTGAGCTCATTCACCGTTAGAATCTGCTTGTGTGTGTTATCCTGCTTGTAGATTTCTGTTCTTTGGTGGTAGTGTTGTTGGAATTTAAAGTATTGAGTGCATATAAAACATAGAAAAGTAGTGAAACAGCCATTTCTCCTTCAGCCGGTATTCAAATACATCTGTCTGCATGGATTTCTCTCTTTTTTAAAAAGCAAAACACAGCCTTCTGCTTGTTAAGGCTTCTTAACTGATCGCTGGCTGCATACTTCTGTAATAGGGAGGGGATACATTCTTCTATAGGTGTAATGAGCAAATCAAACCCTCATAAAGAAATGAGAATGAGAGTTGTCAATCCATGACTTTCTTGGTGGAAGGACCACAGTATGCAGAAGTGGCCATCCATGTATTGATTCCGAATCTTTGGGGTAAATGATGCTTACGGCTCAGTCTTGTCCACTGTTCTCCCGCTCACACGTCCCTCCCCCCCCCCCCATCCACTGCAAGTTCCATGCTGGATTGGAATTCCAGCCACAATCCAACAGAGCTGTGAATTGGGAGAGAGATAGCGCCATTTCATTCTGGGGGGAAGACAAAATCTTCTATGTTTGCAGAACGACAATCTTATTTTTGTGCCCTAAAAAACTACATTCAGAGCATAGCAGAATTAAAACAAGGCAAGAATTCATGAACAAATGCAGCATTTACTATGTAGGCCAAAGAAAAGATAAATTATATGCCTGAAAGATTTCACTGAGCTGCAATTCACACAAACAAGCATCGTGATGGCAGGAATGAGATTTTCCCCCCTCTCCCTTTAACAGCAGAACCAAAGGCTATCAGATATGCATTGAAAAGACTCATCACACACGCAAGCATGGGTCACTTTGTGAAAATTTGACCTTTATTGGTTGGAAACAACAGCACCTTTCTTCCTGCCATCAGCATGGTTCTGGCAGGAAGTCTGTTGTGAGGGACACCTACAGTTTTACCAGGTACTATTTTAAGAGATTTCATGAGAATGTTCCTTTCCCTTCAAAATTTAAATTTTACAGTTGTATAAATACCAACCTTGTGAAAGGCATTAGACAGATAAATAATGATTCTGGTCTTCCAATGAGCGCAGTCGTTCCGTAGGATAAGTACTAGACTATGAACCACAAGCTTAGAGGTTCGAGCCCACCACCTGCTCTTCAGGAGAAAGATGAGGCTTTCTGCTTCCTCAAAAACAGCCTCAGAAACTCTATACAGGGCTGCTGTGAGTTGCAACCAACTCGATGGTACTTAACAACAACTGCTTTTCAAGGAACATAGGATCTAGTTATTAAATACCATCAGTTCCAACTCACAGCTTCCCTGTATAGGGTTTCTGAGGAGTAGCTGGTGAGTTTGAACCCCCAACTTTTGGGTCCAACCGACCTTGCAGTCCAGTACTTATCCTGCAGTGCCACACCAGTTGTTGTTGTTATTGTTAAGTACTGTCGAGTTGGTTCTGACCCATAGCAACCCTGTATAGGGTTTCCAAGGAGCAGCTGGTGATCTTGAACTGCCGACCTTGGTGTGCAAACTGACCTTGCAGTCCAACACATTAACCCACAGTGCCACACCAGGACTCCTAGAATCTAATGGGAGATGTAGTTTTTTTGAAGAGAGATTGGGATAAGTGTGTATTTTGCTCAGATTACAAATATTAAGAACAATAGTCAGTGCCTTCGTGTCCTCCTATCCTTCTCTGTCTCCTCCTGTCCAGTCTTTTGTCTCCACAAAACTGCCACAAGTCACCATGATGGTGAACATTCCCTCCTTCCCCTCCTGCCTCCGTCCTCCCATCCCCCAGCTGCCAAATTGGGTAAATCTTCATCCCTAACCTACTAGTCCTTCCAGATACTTTGGACGGGGTACCCCTCTCCTTCTTGAAACAGCTCCTTCCATTGGCTTTCAGGTCCTCTCAACTCCCTGCCCATCTCTTTTTCAGGGTCACATCTTTGCACATTGGGGTTCCCCAGGGTTCAGTCCTTGAATTGCTTCTTTAGTTATGTTTCTTTCTTGCAGGTCTCTTCTAGCTCCAAAGGGTTATGTATAGTGTGGTGCTCTAGGAGTCCTGGCATGGCACTGTGGGTTCATGTGCTAGGCTGCAAATGCATTTGAACTGCAAGGTTGGTGGTTCAAGCTCACCAGCTGCTCCTTGGAAACTCTATACAGGGTTGCTGTGAGTCATAAGCAACTCATTGGCACTTAACAACATAGGATAAGCACCGGTCTGGTAATTGCAAGGTTGGCAGTTCAAATCC